ACAGACTTGATGTCAGTTTCAAGAAAGTGAAGACGCAACCTACTGGATATAGAGTCTAAAAGAGGAGTAGATGTGGCCTCAGGCCATTATCTAGTGCAAGGAACTTTCAAGTTCAAGTTAAAAGCTTCCAGAGCAGCTGGGGTTATAACACAATCAAGTTCAGTTCTGAGAAACTAAAGGACAAAACTATAGCCATCAGAGCAAAGTTGGAGACATTATGCAGCATCATCTAGGAAATCTGTGGGGAAGAATAATGGAACACTCTGAAAATGACGTCAAACAAAACGTGCATTGGTATCCTAGTAAAGAAGAAGAGAGAAGACAGTGAATGGATCTCTATGGTCATCACGAAGATGATAGGGGAATGGAGTATGAGGAGGTAATAGATGAAATACTGCGGAGATGAACAACGAAAGCAGAGGCTAAGTCCGATCTATAACGCACTGCATACGGAAGTAAAGAAAAGTGCTAGGAAAGAAAAAAGACAATTCTACGATGCACTGGAAACTGAGGCGAAACAGGCCGCAGATAAAAGAGACCTCAGAACATTATAACAAAGCAGGTAACTATCAGGAATACATTAATACAGATTAGACCAGTGAAAGATAATGAAGGGAACCTAAATGCCGTAGAGAAGAAAGAAACGAAACAGAGAGCGGAAAATTTCATAGGACTCTTAACCGATCACCACCTAACACTCGTTTAGAAATACCACCAACAGCATGCACAGAACTGTCAGTGCACAGAATCCGATAGCAACAGCAGAATCATTATGTTTTAAAGTTGCTGAAAGTCAGCTGGGAAGTAAGCAGAACCAGTCGAAATTTATCCAAAAGCACTTAAAATGGATCCCAAGATAACAACCGACACGCTCATGCCACTTATGCACAAGGTTTGGAAAGTAGGAAGATTGCATACTGATTGGAAGAAGGGCTCCCTCGTCAAACTGCAAAAGAAGGGCAACTCAGTTAGACCTGTGCAAGAACTGGAGTGGAGTACTGCTCTTGTCCACGTCAAGTCAAATATTAAGTCGTATCACCATGGAGAGAATAAAAGATGCACTGGATGCAGAACTCTGCCACCCACTGGAACAAGCTGAATTCGGGAAAGGCAAATCATGTGCCGATCAAATCGAAGCTCCACACATCATCATCGAGCACAGCATAGAATGGCAGTCAAACCTCTACCTCAACTTCATCGACTTCGAAAAGGCCGTCAACAGACAGTGTTGACCGAGAGGTAGATTGGAAACTACTTCAAGGCTACGGCGTCCAGTGCCCAAGTCTTCATCAGCCTGATTCAGCAGCTGGTTATATGAAAGTGGAATGTGCCAGTTGATACACAATGGAAAACTGAGCGAAGCCTTTGAAGTGAATACAGGAGTTAGACAAGCTGACTGTTTATTATCACCGATGATATTCCTAATTGTGGTGGACTGGATTATGCGTCAGACTGTGCTTTGGAGTGAGGAGTCAGGAATAGGCTGGACGACCGATAAGAAGACTCTGGAGGATCTGGATTTCTCAGATGGCATATGCCTAATGTCACACAAACTCGAAGACCTGCAGGCGAAAACCAACAAACTGACAGGGGAAGCAGCAAAGAGAGGACTGCAAGTGAACATAGAAAAGACGGAGGTAATGGAGATAACCAGTCGACAATAGCAACAACAACCAGCACTAATCACTGTCAACGAGAGAGATTTTACAGAGGTTACTTCCTGCCTTCCTTTATCTGGCCAGGCAGTCAGAACTGATGAAGATGTCAAAGTTAGTCAGATCAGGAAAGACAAGCAAGATACGCCTTCATCATTATGAAACCAGTTTGGAAATCTTCCATGCTCAGCATAAGGAACAAGATTTACATTTTCAACACCACTGTGAATTCGGTTCTTCTATACGGGTGAGAAACTTGCACTGCGTGTCAGTTACGAAAAGGATTTCGAAAAGTTTGGAGACTTATCAACAGTCCCCTTCGCTGGTTCCATATTAAAGATCAAATGGTGAAGAAGAATTGGCAACAATAAAGTCTTCAGTGGAACAAACCGACAGGCAAGGGCCGATCACTCAACAAATATGTAGGAAAATACCCATTAGAGGGGAAAATAATAAGTTCGGTAAAAATATCTTCTCGGCTATTTCATCCTCAAAAGCTGTACAATCCCATTTATATACATTAGTTTACATGGATACAATTATTATTTATTTAGTTCCACATAGTAACGAAGGAGATAATAATTTTCAACTTGATATGATAGTTTGAAGGTACAAATGTAGATTACAAGGGGCTTAGAGAGAGGATTGCATGGGATTAGAAAACAGTTACAGCGTATGCAAAATTAACATTTGATAACTGGCGAGTCTGGAAAACGGCATCTTATAATGAATAATGGACGAATTACTGCTGTACTAAAGATACGTCGATGACACTTTTATAGTTTGTCAGGATGATTCAGATTTAAATTGTATCTTACAGGGGTTTAATAACTGCCATCCTTCAGTTAAATTCACAATGGAAGTTGAAAATGAATCAAAGATTCCATTCCTGGATGTCGAATTTACAAGAATAGATGACGGAACTCTGATAAGATCTATCCGTAGAAAACCAACATGGAATGACCAACTGACATGCTTTTGCAGTTGGATACCTATCTGCCGCCAAAGAGCTCTCATCGTCTCGCTATCCCACCGTACCAGGAGAATTCGCAGCGATGACTGTTTAGAGGAAGAGCTCCTATTTCTCAAAAGCATCCTGGTTCAAAATGGATACCCACCACGTTTCGTGGAGAAGAACATGAAACCAAAGCCAAAAAGAGAAGAATAGACTTCAGTCCCAAAGAAAACACTTTATTTGAATCTGGAATTCAGGGGAGACCTTGCAGCAGATATCCCTAAAAGTAGAATCGCCAATTCCCTGAAGAAGACTTTTCCGGCAGCAACTCTAAGAATGATATTCTCTAGCCGCCCACTACTTCTGAGCAACTGGAAGTACAGACTTCCGCATATGCATATATCAGTTCGCCTGCTCTTGCGGAGCTAGGTACATAGGTCGTTCTATGTGGGTCTTATCAAAACGTGTTAGAGAACATCATCCAGCGTGACTGCAAAGAGGAGGCACTGGTTCAATCAGAAGCGCCATAACTGAACACCTCGTCAGTACCTGTCGCAGCATCTCAACTGACTCATCATTCGGAGTCATTTACAAAGTAAACAAAAATCTACGAAAGGTAGTGTGTTTCCGAATACTTTGCACTGCAGAAGCTCTCGCCATATGCATTGAAAAGCCAGAGCCATGTGTTCAAAAGAAACTAGTCCAGCCTTTACAACTACCGTGGACCTAGTTCGGTATGTTCCCTTATCCTTCAGTTTTTTTTGTTTTGTTCTCTGTGTGTGTAATTTTCTCTCTTTGTCTTCATTCAATTCATCCCATTTTTTCAGTTATAAAATCAGTTATTTTAAGTTTGTCTTCATGCTCCTCCTGATCACACTTGTAATCCGTTTAGAATAACCATTTTACAACTATATTCTAATCCTGTGTAATTTTTTGTTTCTATGCCCCTTGTAATCTATATTCACACCTCCTAACTTACATTTCAAGTTGAAAATTTTGATTTCAATTTGTTTCCATGCTCATTTTGTTCACACCTGTAATTCGTTCTATCCCGGCGTAACTATTGTTTCTGAGCCTCTTGTAATTCATATCAAGTTGAAAATATTTATCACCCTTTATTCGCTTTCAAAATTATTTCTCCAGTTACAAATCTTAATCTTGCATACGTTGTAACTGTTTTCTAATCCCATGCAATCCTCTCTCTAAGCCCCTTGTAATCTACATTCGTACCTTCAAACTATCATATCAAGTTGAAAATTATTATCTCCTTCGTTACTATGTGGAACTAAATAAATAATAATTGTATCCATGTAAACTAATGTATATAAATGCGATTGTACAGCTTTTGAGGATGAAATAGCCGAGAAGATATTTTTACTGAACTTATTCTTTTCCCTCAAATATGTAGGAGAAAGTGGAGATGGATCGGGCATGCATTAAGGATGCCGCCGAATGACATCGCACGCCAGGCCATTGCTCGAGTAGAATATCAATGGGAAGCGACGAGTGGGTCGTCCTAGGGTGACATGGAGGAGATCGTGTGAGGAAGATATGCGAGAGTTTGGTCAATCGTGGAACCAGCTAAAGAGGATGGCAGAAAACAGAACAATTTGGAGATGTGTTGTTGAAGCCCTATGTTACACTCGGAACGCAAGGGAACAGTAATAATAATAGCTTCCCTTTGCTGTGAGTTGCATCTTACTCTCATTATCCTGAAAGTGAACAGTTACCACTGCATAAGCGCCTTTGATGCTGTTGGTAGAATCACTATGGCCTCTCCTTGTGTTCACGGTTGTGTCTGGGTGACTCAAGTAGATTATTGACTCTCGAGTTAACATTTTTGAGAGTTCACTTCTATTCTCTCTCCTCTGTCAACACGTCAAAAGAGGCCGAACAAACTACGAATAACTGAAATGCCCGAAAAGTGTTTTCAGTTTATCAATTACTTTCACCAGTCACTCGCAAGAAATAATTTTATCAGTCCACTCTAGCAAAAACGCCTGCTAAACGTCAAAGTTTAGTCCACCTCACTGAGTAAGCCAACAACAGAAAAAGAAGATAGTGAAAGTTACCAAAAGAAAGTTATCCCTACTTTATGTTCTACTAAACCCGCATAACAAAAGTAAGAGGGATATAGTTCATTGACTGTTAAGTTTAAAGTCTTCTCCACAGAATAAAGTTAAAATATCTACATTTGAAACAACATATTTGATATATTACTCTTGATATTAAAAAGCAAGTACATGTATGGTTACTATTTTCATTATGCTAAAAGTGATGGATTGGTTATTGAAAAGAAGAAACCACCCACAAAGTGTATTTTATAATTCTCTGACCCTCAATTATACTACCGTTAATGCTATTAGCTGTCATTTTTTTTTCTACCCAAGGTCAAACAAATTAAAAGCGAACAGTAATAATGATATTAAGTGTACAACTCCATCTCTAGACTACATACCACCAGCAAAACAGAAAAGCAGGTTAACAATAACTAAACAAACGTTCATACAACCTGAAGATATATGGAAACCCGACAGTACCAAATATAATGTCACAAATCACTTGTCTGATGTAACACAATTAAGTGAAAATGAGCTGAGAAATCGTCTGCAACGAATAAGTAAAGAACTACACGTTGTAAGTTTGCTTTTTATAGTCTAATTATGATCATTTAATTCGATGATTTTTCACTTAAGCTTTTAATCTTAAGTAAAGTATAAATAAAACTCAATAAGTGTAGATTTAGATTTCAGTAATGCTTTGTGAAATAAAACTATCATTTACGTATTGATAAGTATGTTTAGAAGTTCTCATCCCATGAACTACTAGTTGAAACTTGAATAATAATAATAATAATAATTTGCTTTATTCCAAAACAGTACTTGTGATACAGAATGGAATTCTCAGCATTTTTACTACAGTATTGCATCCAGTTAGTACATTATCAATAAATAGAATTCTACATAGATTGAGGAAACCACAGTTCATTATTACAACAATACATTGGCATGTCAGTAGCAAAGGTAAAGCTGAAACAGTGTTTGAAGGTGTTAGAAAAGTGGGAGCTGTCTTATTAACTGGCGTAAGTGAGAGAAAGAGACAAAGCAGCACATAACGGAAAAAGAAGAGAGAGAAAAGGAACAGAAAGAAAGAAAATGTTGTACCTATTGATGAAGTGGGTTGGAAAGAGGAGATCCAGTTGTACTAATGACTATTTAATGAATTATAGGTGTCACGCCTAATGCTTTCTTTATCACACAGAACACGAGCTAAGTAGGGTATGGTTGAGTTTTTGTACTTGCTGGTGCGAGCATATAGTTTTCTATATTGGCTTCTTGTTTTACCTGATGAGATGCAAGGGGAGAGTTGTGAGTGAAGAGGATGGTGTGAGTTAGATAAAATGGATTTGGCCCATTTTTCACATGAGTCCATGTGCCTGTCAACCAAAATATTAACAAGCTGGTTAAGTGGCACGTTGCTTACTCTGCTGACATCATTTAACATCAAAACCAATGGAGAACAACTTTACAGTAGAATGTATCATGATTGTTATTAGTAGTAAAACAACACAAACTTAGTACACTATGGGTACCAGGAGATCCACCACACAAAAATAATTAGACAAAAATATATGGGGAAAATAGGCGTAGAATAAATGAGGGATCTCGTCCGGAAAGCAGGTAACCGTGCTTGTTAAAATTAATCATCATCCGTTACTTTATTTTACTTCCCAAAAGGTAGGAAAGGGGAGAATGGAAAAATGTCCGCCATTAATTATGATTCTCGGCCATAAATGCTACCATCTCGCACCGCCGATTCTCATTATCTCATAGGCCCTACTCAGGCAATCGTGATGCACCAACGAATGCTAAAGAAACACAAATATCCTTCATTTCGCGCCGTCACGTCATAGGCGCCTCCTTTTCCATTCAGCCTCGGAGTATGGTCTATGGGGTGGTATTCGTAGCACATTTCCCAGGCACCGAAGCTGGTTTTTCAAGACGATAACACTCAAAGAAAGATGATGCCCATCGTGTCCAGACACACGCTGGTAGACGTCAGAATTATTTGCATGAAAATTTCATCGGACATAAGTGATTTTACGGAGTCAGAGTCGATGCACATCACCAGCTCAGAGAGACCAGGTTTCACAGGCATACAGCAAAAGTATGCATATCAAAGCACTACAAACACGACCTCCGACAGCTATACTAATGCCATAATAGTGCCCTGGTTTCGACTATGCAGTTAGAGACCTTACTCGTCACACCTCCACCAAAACTCATACAAATACACAGATACACGAAGTTATCAACAAGAATATGCAGTTCTCCTGTGAGTATGAGAGCAGGTACAGGCTCTTGCTAATCATGCAGCAGTACTTCGCACTTAGACAACTCGACGTACGTACCATACTGGAGGACACTGATCGCCGACTTTTCAATCGCTATTTTGGGAGCCTGTGTGTTGTCTTGCAGTAAGACGATGGCGTCTGTACACTGAGGGTTGGAAAGCTTTTCTTCAGGAAGCAGGTCTACACTACTACTACTACTACCACCACAACCACCACCACAAAGTCTCTCAAAGTTGTCTCCAGAATGTTATCAATAGCAAACTTAAAGAGAAATGGTCAGATTGTACCACTCTGTTTAACTCCACTGTTGGTTGAGAATAGTGGTGATAGCTGTCGTATGCTTTCACTCTACCTTGGGTGTTTCAGAATGTCAACAGTGTTCTATGGAAGAGACAATTCCAAGGAACGGTTTCATCATCTGTATCGACTGATGACCTGTATTAAGTATAACCGTGTTCTTTCGAATAGCGAGTAATGAGCTCATGATCATTGTGTCCATGGCCTGAACAAAACCTAGCGTTCTCTTCGTAAATCGGTCTCTCACATGTTTGGTACAGCCTGATAAGCAAGACAGTAGTTCATATTTGAGACGCAACTGGTAGCAAACTAATACCCGCATGATTTTTAAAAATATTACATAGGCACAAAAACGCCAGTGTATTCAGTAACATAATTTGATGTTTGTTTTGAAAATGTTATTTTACTTGAATTAGGACCAAATATTGGTTGTCGACTAATGAAAAACTGATTAAAATCGCATAAACATATTAGAAAACTGTATATACCTACAACAACAACATGATTCTGTCATTACGTTCAAATCATTTCCTATTCAAAAGCATTTCTTGCTGATGAATCGAGTTAAAGGGAATAAACATATATACCTGTCCAGCTTTCATACAACTTACATTTCTTCTGTATACGCGGTAAACAAACGTTATTTCACTCTTCTTATTAAATGACACTAAGTTAATTGCACAGGATAGCTACCTCCTCCCAACACTGAACGAACGTCACACTCCACTGCAAAACAATGAAAGTCGGGTTTTCAGTAACTTTCTTTATATAATCAGCTTTGTCCAAAACTACTGTAGAGTTTCCTTTATCTATCGGGGTTGATATTTCAAAGCACGCTAACGTGGTGACTGAAAAGTGACAGGCTTACTGTGAGACTGAAATGTTTGGGGCTTGATACTACATGGAGTTGCAGACACAGACCACCAGATAGGTCTGAACCACAACAAGATAGATGTTCATATTTAAGTACCCAGTACACCCTAGGAAGCATTTTCAATATATATATATATATATATATATATATATATAAACGTTTCAATACTACTAACATTAATTACCAGTATCTTTTCATTGATTAGGAACAATCGCGCCGTTATTATCTCGCTAATATTTGTGCAGATTTGCTGGAGGAGAATCGTAAGCTTCGAACTGGTCAGTTGAATGCGGTGGATATGAGAAGACAACAAACTAATCACGCCATTCCCATCACCACCACTACTGCAACGATATCAGCTCAACCAAATGAATCAATCCAGAAGAACGGTAATGATGCGGATAGGAAAACAATGTCGGGTCTTATCGACAGTAAAATCAAACAAACTAGTAGTAGTAACCCAAATTTATGGAACAGACCAAAATTAAAATCATATAAATTTGATATTGAGACAGATTTGTAAATGGGACGAGAATATATATATATATATATACACCACTCATGTACATAATATTACTTAAACAGTAACCACTGTAACTGAGTTAAGAATATGAGATGTGAACAACCTATTTCAAAATATGTATTTCTATTATGTCTAAGAGTAATCGATAATAAACTCCAGAACTCGTTTCTTGTTTGTTTTTATACTAGGTAATTTACATTCACATGACTTAAACTCATATCACGGAAGTCTCACTACCAAACCAACATACAAACATCTATCATACCTTTGAATTATAGAATTGTGCCTAAAGATTAGCGACGAAATAGTAATCAGCATTTGATTTCAGTACACAGCTTTTTTCAGTAGTAAAATAAATCAGTAGGGCAAATAAGCGATTCACCATATACTACAAATTCAAAGTGTGAGTGTACGTGTTCACATGAGAGATGTTATCTTGCATAATTTTTTTGGAACCTTTAAATAATATACATCAAACAATAAGTTTCCGTGTCTTAGTGGACTGGATTCCTTGAGTTAGAATACTGCTGCACCTCTTCATAACTGTCAACACAAAATATTGGTAGATGAAATCTGGATAACTATATATTTAGATTTCATCTTAGAAAGAGTAAATTAGAGCAAGTGAACTGAAATCTATTTCGATCCAGATCCCCATAACCGATCAGTCGTTTCTTAACATTATGGGTTTATATATTTTGTCAACTGAACCGTCAAATCGCTTAACATCGACACAATACCCATAAAGAAGACCAATGAATGTTCTTCGAGTTGCTGTAAAGTCGTTCTAGTAACTACACTGCCATGCCTAAAATGCTCAGACTGTGATGCGACATACAGTGGTCAAACTTATCGAGAATTTAAGAAGAAACGAATACCAAATAGCTTCTATTTGACCAACAAGAAATCCAACAGAACATAGTAAATCTTGAGTCGAATGTGATTGGATTCCACCTCTTGTGTTAATTGGTGTAATATAGTTATTAATAATCAGGCTAGGAATAATGTCAATCGCTGAGGTTGTAAAGCTGCATCGATTGAGATGGCTATGACGCATGTCAACTCGTCGCCTTCCTCATCCAGCAATGTTGACTGATACAGAATTTTGTTGAAAAAGATGTAAAGGTAGTCAAACTAGTAAATGGCATCAGTTCATGAAGTTGACTTGAGTCACGTAGGGATGTGCAAAATGCTAGAATAGAGTCGTCAAAATGCTGCAGAGTTGTTGACACGATTCCATAAATGCATGCACACTATGCAATCTTCTAGATCCATTAAATCTCCACGTAATTATTCTTTCTCCCGTTTATCATAGTTCTTTTTTTTTTTTCTATCTTTGCGTGGTTTAGAAAGTGTAACAACTTGAACTGTTGCACTTTTATGCTTAGTCCTACGTCAAGAATTTAGATCAGTTCAGAATACGAATGACAGATTAATACAAAATTTGACCCGAAACCCACTCCCACCCTCCTCCCACAAATCAACACATGGGATAAGCATTTTCATTACGTGAATACATATTTTTCATAATTCACAGACTTATCGAAATCCAGCAATCTGCTCATGTCTGTTATCTTTACTCAACAACCCAGGACTACATCATACGGAACAATTATGATCGAGTTACATTATTATAAGCTGAGACTGTAAACTGTCATTTACTATTCTTTTTCTTTCCTTTCTTTGCGTTCTAAGTGGAACGTAAGGCTCCAGGCATTTCTAACTTTGAAGTTTCAGTAAGGCTTGCGGTGATTTTACGGGATGGGTTTATTAGTCGCACGCTCCTTTCTCATTTGTCAGAATCACTGCCAGCTGGGCGAGATTTCAGAATGTGTCGGTGGGGAACCAAGCCCTAGGCCACGTGCGTGGTTGGCGAGCATTCTACCACTAAACATCGACGCACACATGTAGATTATTATTTACTCTTAAATCCATTATTATTTGGTTTATTTTAATTGACCTTCCTTTTTTTGTCACGTAGATTGAATCAGTAGGTGAAACTGTTACACAAGTGAAAACTGATTTGCTCACTATTCTTTTATTAAACTTTTTGGTTTACATTATTTTGTGACCTTTCCTGGTAATGTAACATCATTCTCATTTCACTCACTGACTTTACACACGTGCTGTTGTGAAATGCGGTAAATTGAAATGATGCTTTTCGGGTAGTTTACTATACTGATCCGTCTACCTGATTGCACAATGTTACTACTACTACTCTGTCAGTTATAAAAGTACTTTATATCTTGAAAATACAGAAAATTCTTTCATGTCCTGTCAATAAAAAGAAGTGATAGGAATATATTTGTGGGGGGGGGTGGACAGAAACCTGAAATAAAGATTACAGATAGATGATAGCTCAATATTTGGTTTTTCCTATAACTTTTATGAATAGAACAATTTCCTATAGAACTGAATCACAGTGAACTCAAATAAACAATAACAAAAGTAACGGTCAAAATAACTGAACATACTTTATTTTACAAGAGACTGTATTTACTGTACAAGATCCTAATAAATTAAAAATTTGTGATCATAATGTTTGAATATTTACAGGAGTGTTTTATAGTACTCGTGAAAAAAAGAAAGAAAATTCCAAAAATATACCGCAAAGTGTGACACTTTCACTTTGAATCACGAATGCTTCTCCACCAGGATAAAACAGCACGACGTCGTTCACACAGGAATTCAGACCCATTCATTCCGTACACCCTAGTTTTCAACAACATTAAATATATGATCATTACTACAAAGCACCATTTACGTACAAATGTATTAATTTAGTGAATCGTCTTCTAGATATATTAACTTATTACTCTAATAAAATGATAACACCATACGATGTACAGCACAATGTAATAGTTAATAATCTATACATGCAAAATCCCGTACAACTTTCGTCTCACATTTCTAAGTTCACTGAATCTGTTTCTGTTTTCGCCTACGAATATTAACGTTAGCATTGCATAACAGATACGATTAATATCATCCTACACAAACTTCACTGTGAATTCTATTTTTAGGCGAAGTAGATGATATACTGTATATTAGATAGCAGCTAGAATCATTTCATGAGTATTGAACAAGCAAGTATAAATACAGATTTTGAATACAGGTGGGTTAGAATAGAACATCTATATGTGGGATACTTCACGGATATTTGACTAGAAAATATGTCAGCCTCAAATATCAACACTAGTATAGTGAAGAAAATCTCACAAAAAGTCGGGATACAACAAGTTATACCATGAGTGTTCATAGTAATGATCTCCACCCTCTCGAATAACATATGACAACTGGTTTTATGTTCGCAATGAATGGGGTGTGTGGATTGGGAAATAGCATGTTCTGAAATTTACATAGTACACAATAACACAGTAGAATTTACTTGCACAATCTACTGCTCATTATTGCAATGTTGTCAGGCTCCTATAGTTACTTGACATTCAGAAACCACAACTTATTTCTAGTATCTGAGTACCGAATACACTTAAAACAACTTCACACTGCATACAACAAAATAAGTTCAGAAGTAAAGGATACGTAATACGTAATCTCAAAATAATTCATAGAATTAATTCAATATAAAAACATACATTCCAAAAAGTAAACCACCAGCATGTGCCGCATGATCCAGTGCACTTCGACGGGTAAAGAATAAAATGCCAAGTGTTTCAATGCATAGCATGACCCAAATAGCATTGCTCGCTTGAAATGAATGAGGTATTATATCTACAACAAATGGTATACATAATCTAGCGTTTGGCTGGAGCATAGAAAATGCACCGATTATAGCACATATTCCTCCACTTGCACCAAGGGATGGAAACGTTGACTTTTGAAGCACTTTGTTAACCAAACTAACATAATTCGAAAAAATTCCTAGCGGGAAGAGTCAGAAAAGAAATACAGTGAAACACAGTGGTAATACCGATTATAAACAGTAAATAAAACTTTGTATCTTGGTATATAATAAAAATCACTCGTATTTTGTAAGTAGAAATGCATCACACGAAATAATATGATCTTACATCAGGAGAAGTTAAAGATAGCTAAGAATGCATACGAAAGTATTTTCACTCACTACATCTGAGGCAGAACTTTTGCTTGACAATGCTACCATACTACAGGAAAAGAGAACTTCTGAATGAATCTCTGAGATCAATTATATCTGATAACTTCTGGAGTTATTGAATTGTAACCTCTCCCCCTTCAGAGAATTGTAACACATCAACAAACGATTATCCAACGCAACTATTTATGATACCACATAGCAAGATAGACCAATCCACTACTTCTTCAAACCGCTTTTAGAGTCGCATGTCATATTAAATCCCATGAATTGGAATTTCAACACAATCAAGCCACCAGAGCCAGTGTTCTTGAATGATTTTACTTGTTGGAAGCCAACGACCATGCATGAACGCTAGTTATGGCGTCACCATTAGATGAGAGAAATCCAACTGACTAACTTAACAACCCGGAATTTAGCCGAAAGTGAGTCACAGCATATTGCAACACGTCAGAAAAGCATAGATAAAAGTGGAGAGATGAACTGTGATGAGACTACGACGAACATGAATGTACGGGAAAGAGGAAAACTAAGTGGAGATTAGTAGGTATGTAGTAGCAGTAGTGACTAAACCAGTGCGACTGTGATCGATGATGAGCCAAGTTACCAAGAGTCTTCAAACACTGATTCTTAAGCAGTCGCATCGACAACACGTTGTTGTAAGTACCTTCGATTCTCTTTCAGTATTGTCCTACTGCAACTACCGTTGCTTTTTGAGGATGACAGTCGCTTGGGTTGCGTAAACCGCGCTTTAACAAACCAAACAGATGGAACCACACAGTCTCCAATACTTTTCTCTTCCTGTTTTTGTTATTATTCATCACTTTGCTCCATCCAACAATAACAAATTAACGAAAACACTTGTGGTCAGAAATATTTAGTTTCTTTCCATCTCCTACTTTCAGTGATGACTGATATTGTGGCGTGT